ACATCAGCAAATAATGCCAAACAAACCTACGTGATCCACACTGCCAAGACCAATACACAACACATCGTAACTTCGCTTTTTGATTCACTTCAAACGGAGAATCTTCAAGATGATGATTTTTCTCTCCCCGAGATTCACTATATTTACGAAAATGCCATGTCCGGCTTCTCCGCGACTCTCACCGACGACCAGCTTGAGACGGTCAAGAACACAAAAGGGTTTCTCTCGGCTTATCCAGAGGAGCTCTTATCTTTACACACGACATATTCTCCTGAGTTTCTTGGTCTCGAGTTTGGGATCGGACTTTGGAACGAGACGAGCCTAGCCTCGGATGTAATCATTGGCCTTGTTGACACGGGGATCTCTCCGGAGCACGTGAGCTTTCGAGACACTCACATGCCTCCCGTTCCGTCTAGATGGAAAGGCTCGTGCGACGAAGGCACGAACTTCTCTTCTTCTTCGTGTAACAAGAAAATCATTGGAGCTGGTGCGTTTTACAAAGGCTACGAAGCCATCATTGGGAAAATCAATGAAACCGAGGATTTCAGGTTAGACGGTTGAAAGAATAATTATTATACTATAACACTCTAGTTTCAACTTCTACTGATCTCACATTGGTTGGTCTCTAATTGTTAATGAGAGCTTTAAGCCATGCACTCAGATTCCATACAATACATAAGGTCATTTCGATAACAAAAAAATATTTTCTTGGTATTAGGATGGTTATAATTGCTATAACAAAATCGCGTGATTCTTAGGTCGGCTCGAGACAAACAAGGACACGGGACGCATACAGCCTCAACAGCTGCGGGAGGCATTGTCCATAAAGCGAGTTATTATGGTCAAGCCAAAGGCCTTTTCGCTTCCGGGATGAGGGTTAGTTCGAGAATTGCTGCTTACAAAGCTTGTTGGGCGTTAGGCTGTGCAAGCAGCGACGTAATTGCCGCCATTGACCGAGCCATTTCAGACCGTGTTGACGTGATATCTCTGTCGCTAGGTGGATCTTCACGTCCGTTTTACGTCGACCCGATCGCTATCTCTGGGTTCGGAGCGATGCAGAAGAACATTTTCGTTTCTTGCTCTGCTGGTAACTCAGGTCCAACTGAATCCACGCTGAGTAATGGAGCGCCGTGGTTGACGACTGTTGCCGCAAGTTATACGGACAGGACGTTTCCGGCGATTGTCCGGATCGGTGGTAAGAACTTGATCGGATCGTCATTGTACAAAGGGAAAGGCTTTAAGAATCTGCCTTTAGTGTATAACAGAACGGCCGGAGGAGGAAGCGGAGCAGAGTTCTGTGTTCGGAACTCGCTCACGAAAGAACTCGTCGAGGGTAAAATCGTCATTTGCTTAAGAGGAGCCAGCGGTAGAACGGCCAAGGGGGCAGAGGTGAAACGGAACGGCGGAGTAGCGATGCTTCTGGTGAGCAGAGTGACGGAAGGAGAGGAGCTTCTAGCTGATCCTCACGTTTTACCGGCGGTTTCGATCGGATTTACCGACGGTTTTACCTTGCTGAAGTATGTCTCCGGTGGTGGTGGTGCGGCAAACGCAACCGTCGCTTCTATTCGATTCAGAGGAACAGTGTACGGAGCAACCGCTCCGATCGTCGCTGCTTTTTCATCTAGAGGACCTAGTGTCGCCGGACCGGAAATTGTTAAACCGGACATTACGGCTCCCGGTTCAAACATCTTAGCTGGTTGGTCGCCGTTCTCGAGCCCGAGCCTTCTCGATTCAGATCCGAGACGAGTCGAATTCAACATCATCTCTGGAACATCGATGGCTTGTCCACACGTCAGTGGAATCGCCGCTCTAATCAAATCCGTTCACGGCGATTGGTCACCGGCGATGATCAAATCGGCGCTCATGACGACGGCGAGTATCACCAACAACAGGAATCAACCAATCGGAGATATGGGCGCGGGACCCAACTCGGCGGCTACAGCGTTTGATTTTGGTTCGGGACACGTGGAACCGACGCGAGCCGTAGATCCGGGACTGGTATATGATATCTCGACCGTCGATTACCTTAACTACCTCTGCAGCTTGAATTACAGCGCCGAGAGAGTAGTCTTGTTCTCCGGAACGAAGTACGCGTGTCCTACAAACGGCGTCGGTTTGAGTCCCGGTGATTTGAACTATCCGTCGTTCGCGGTGAATTGGGAGAAGTTGAAAACGGTGAGATATAAGAGGACTGTGACGAATGTTGGGTCACCGGCGTGTGAGTATGTGGCTCACGTTGTGGAACCAAAAGGTGTGAAAGTGAAGGTGGAGCCGAACGTTCTTAAGTTCCAGAAGGTTCGAGAGAGTTTGAGTTATACGGTGACGTTTGCTTCTATAAACTCGTCTTCTTCTTCCTTTGGAGCTTTAGTATGGATTTGTGACCAGTACAAGGTGAGAAGCCCAATCGCTGTGACGTGGGAGTAAAATCTCGTTTTTACTGCCATATATACCAAAGAAACATAATAAATCATTGTCTTATTAATGGCAACAAAGTAAAGAAAACAAAATTATTGTCTGGTATTATAAAACTTGATGAACAAAAGCTTACTGTAAATTGTAAGATTTTGAAGATAAATCAATATATCTAATTTTTTCAAGTCATTGTAATGTGTTTTTAATTGCT